CAAAAAAAACCAAAAAATGCTGCCAACCAAGAATATATTACTCAGCAAAGCTATCCTTCAGAAATGTAAGAGAAATAAAATCTTTCACAGACAAGCAAATACTAAAAAAAAAAAAAAAAAAAAAAAAAAAAATTACCACCAAGCCAGCCTTTCACAAAATGTTCAAGGAAATCTTACATCTGTAAGTGAAAAAAATGATAACTACTACCATGAAAACATAAGAAACTATAAAATTCACTGACAGAGTCAATACATAAAGAAGAAAGAGAAAGGAATCAAACCTTATTATTAGAGAAAACCACCCAACTGTAAAAATAAGCAATAAGAGAGGGATTAAGGAGCAAAGGGTATACAAAACAACCAGAAAAAAATCCATAAAGCAACAGGAGTAGGTTTTCATTTATTAATATTAACCTTGGGTATAAATAGATTAAATTCCTCAACTAAAAGACATGAACTGGCTGAATGGCTAAGAAAAACCCAACCATATGCTATTTTCAAGAAATGCATCTCATCTGTAAAGATATACATATGCTGAAAGCGAATAGACAGAAAAAGATATCCCATACAAACGAAAATAAAAAGCAAGGATCAGCTACACTTCTATCAGATAAAACAGACTTCAAGTCAAAAACTAAAAAGAGTCAAAGAAAGACATTACTGAAAAAGTAACGCTTCTACACTGCTGGTGGGAATGCAAAGTAGTGCAACCTCTTTGGAAGACAGTGTGTTAATTTCTGAAAGAACTAGAAATGGACCTTCCATATGACCCAGCAATTCCCCTATTTGGAATATACCCGGAGGAACTAAAATCATTCTACGAAAAAGATACCTGCACATGTGTGTTTGTTGCAGCTCTATTCACAATAGCAAAAACATGGAATCAACCATGTTGCCCATTGAAGGTGGACTGGATAAAAAAAAATGTGGTACATATACACAATGGAATATTATGCAGCCATAAGGACAAACATATGGACTTCGCAGCAACTTGGATGGATTTGGAGTCGATCATACTCAGTGATCTGTCACAGAAACAAAGAACAGAGTACCATATATTCTTACTCATAAGCAGACCTTGAACAATTATAATACTATAAGAAAGGGATTGGCAGTTGTGGGAAACTGTCAGGGGAGGGGGGTGGGATTGGCAGCTGAGGGAAACAGCTAGGGGAGGGAGGGGCATACCTCATCAACAAGGGTACCTGCATAATCAACATTTGTATACCTAACCCTGTATTGTACCCCACATCTTTATAATAAAGAAAAAGAAAGACATTGTTTAATAATAAAGGGATGAATTCAGCAAGGGAATAGAACAATTATAAACATACATGCACACAACACTAGAGCACTTGGATATATAAAATGAACATTATTACATTTAAAGGGAGAGATATAACACAATACAATAACAACTGAGAACTTTAACACCCCACTCTCAACATTGGAAAGATCATCTAGACAGGAAATTAACAAAGAGACATCAGATTTAAACTGCACCACAGACTAAATATATTGGAGAGACATTTACAGAACATTTTACCTAACAGCTGCAGATTACACATTCTTTTCATCAGCACATAAGACACTATCTATCACTGACCATATGTTAGGACACAAAAATGTCTCAGAAAATACTTAAAAATTAAAGTCATATGAAGTATCTTATCTAATAATCATAAAATGAGAGAACGGACTGCAATAACAAGAGAAACGGACAGCAATAACAAGAGGAACAAATACATGAAGCTGGAACAAGAAATGGATACCCACTCATTCTCACCACTTTTATTCAAAATAGTACTGGAAGTCCTAGCCAGAGCAATTAGGCAAGAGAAAGGAAAAAAGGACATCCAAATTTGAAAGAGGAAAGTTCAATTGTCCCTGTCTGCAGATGACATGATTTTATATACAGAAAAACCTCACGACTGTACTACCTTATCAGTTCTACTCCTTTAGAATTTTACAAAAGAAATTCAATAAAGTTAAATGATATAAAATTCATATAAAAATCAGTAGTGTTTCTATACACAAACAACTAGCTAGCTGGAAAAAGAAATCAATAAGGCAATCCTACTTATAATATCTACAAAATAATACCTAGGAATAAATTTAACCAAGGAAGTGAAAGAATTCCACAAGGAAAACTATATTTCATTTCATTTTATTATTATTATTTTTTGGAGTTGGTATCTCACTCAGTGACCCAGACTGGAGTGCAGTGGCCACTCCTGGTCACTGCAGCTTTGGCCTGCTGGGCTCCGGCGATCCTTCTGCCTCAACCTTCCACCTCAGTAGCTGGAACAACAGGCACACGCTACCACACCTGGCTAATTTTTTTGTTTACTGTAGAAATGAGGTCTCGCCAAGTTGCCCAGTGGGTCTTGAACCCACAGCCTCAGGCAATTCACTCACCTCAGTTTCCAAAAGCACGAGATTACAGGCTGAGCCACCGAGCCCGGCCAAGGAAAACTATAAAACATAGATAAGATAAATTCAAGAGGATACAAACAAATGGAAAGACATCCCATGCTCATGGATAGAATTAATATTGTCAAAGTAAAAATACTACCCAAAGAAATCTACAAATTCAATGTAGTCTCTATCAAAATACTAATGACATTTTGCATGAAAATAGAAGAAAAAGCTGAAAATTTATATGAAACCACAAAGAAGCACAAATAGCCAAAGCAATCTTTAACAAAAAGAATAAAGTGGAGGTATTACACTACCAGACCTCAAAATATACTACTAGGTTGTAGTAATCAAAAAAGCATGGTACTAGCATAAAACAGACAGGTAGGCCAATGGAACAGAATAGAGAAGCCAAAAATTAATTCACATGCTTACAGTCAACTGATTTTTAACAAAAGTGCCAAGAACATTCACTGAGAAAAGAACAGTCTTTTCAATAAATGGTGGTGGGACAATTGGGTACCTATATGCAGAAAAATAAAATGACTCCCCAGCTTTCACTCTATAGAAAAATCAACTCAAAATGAATCAATAACAAATATGAGACTCAAAATGATAAAAACAAATACTAGAAAAAAATATAGGGAAGATGATTCACAACATTGGACTGAGAAAACATTTGAAGAATAAGATCTCAAAAGCACAGATAACTAAAACAAAAATAAATGAGATTACATGAAACTAAAAAAAGTTTCTGCATAGCAAAGGAAATGATTAACAGAGTAAAAAGACAACCTGCAGAACAGTAGTAAATATTTGCAAACTACTCATCTGACAAGAGATTCATATCTAGACTACACAAGGAACTCAAACATGTCAACAGCAAAAACAAACAATCCAATTTAAAAATGAGCCAATGATCTGAACAGATAGTTCTTAAAATAAGACATATAAATGACCAACAAATATATGAAAAAAAAAAGCTCAGCATCACTAATCATCAGGGAAATGAAAATCAAAACCACAATGAGTCATCATTTCATATCAGTTGTGAAGGCCATTATCAAAAAGACATAAAAAAATGCTCACGAGGTTGCAGCAAAAAGGGAACTCATACACTCTTGGCAGGAACGTAAACTAGTACAAACATGTGGAGAACACTATGAAGATTTCTCAGAAAACTACAAATAGAACTACCGAAAAATCCAGTAATCCCACTACTGGGCATTTATCCAAAGGAAAGGAAATTAGTATTTCAAAGGGACATCTGCATTGCCATGTTTACTACAGCACCACTCATCGTAGGCAAAATATGTAATCAATAGGTTTACAACAACAAATGGGTAAACAAAATGTGATATATAGAATATTCAGCCAGAGGGGGGAAAAAAAATGAAACCCTGTCATTTGTGGCAACATAGATGGAAGTGGAGGACATTGTATTAAGTTCAATAAACCAGGAACAGAAGTTAAACACCACATGTTCTCACTCAGACATAGAAGCTAAAAAAGTTGATCTCATGGAAGTAAAAAGTAAAATAATAATTACTAGAGGCTAGGAAAGGTAGAGGAAAGGGAGGACTATGGAGAGTTTTGTGAAAGAATATAAAATTACAGATAGAAAGAGGAGAAAATCCTAGTGTGCTATACCACTGTAGGATGGGTATAGTAAACAATAATGTGCAGTTTCAAATCACAAGAAGGAGGGCATTAAACATTCCCTACACAAAAAATGATACGTTTGAGAGGATGGATATGCTAAGTACTCTGATTTGATCATTATACATTATATGTATCAAATATCACTATGTGTTCCATGGATACGTACAGTTATTATTTGTGAATTTAAAATAATTTTTAAAACCCCAGTAAGAGTCAGCAATAACTGTGACAAACAAATGTGATCTCAAGCTGCATCAACAGCAGCATAACAGTTGACAAGAGGGAGGTGAAAGTACCATTTTACTTAGCATTGAAGTGTTGCCACCTTGATGAAGAAGAGCATCAGTTCAGGTGTTATGGTCCAGGATGTGAAAAATTAGTGAAAATTACTGAAAATGCTTCACATGAGACTAGCTGAAGAAACTGGGGTTATTTATTTAGGTTGAATAAAAGTTACAGGGTGTCTTTTATTCCTGCTGTCAAATTTCTCAAGAACTCTCTTGGAGAAAGAAGATCAAATCAGTTTCTTTGTGGACATGGAGAACCAGGGATACAGATTTCAATTCGGTATAAGAAAAAACCCTCTAACAGTAATGTCTAGAAATAAGATAAACTCTCTCCTGAGAAGTGAGAAGGCCGTCAAGGGAGGTAATCAAGAGAAACTGGAGAGGTGTTGGGCAGCTCACACTCTGAGGCCCCTCATAACTCCAATTCCAGGAACACTGACACTCTTTTTTCCCTCCCATCACTACTGGGGGACCACAGAAGACAAACTGTGATAACCCAACGGAGAAGTTAACCGTACATCCAAAGTGGCTTATCTTGGAAGACACTGCCTGTGTTTCTTACTGCCCAGATCCTGAGCCTCTTCCCATCTTCCCAAAATGCCCAAAAGATGGGATGTGACAAGGAAGACTCACCTTTCTTCTCAAAGTCCACCTTCTCTTCCCCTGGGCGTCCCAGGCTGTCAAGGGTGTGGGTCACCTGGCTGCCAAACTCATCCTCGCGGGAGACATGGTTGGCCCGCCGGGGCGGTTCATCCTCCTCCTCACAGTCATAGTCATCCAGGATGGGGGTTTCCCGAATGGGCACGCCGATGACGGAATTGTGGGCTTGAAGCCGGGAGGAGCGGAAGCTCTCCCGGGCCTGAGGACCCAGCAACACCGACGGGATATAGTGGATCTCGTGAGTGGCTTCTGTGCTTGCGCTCTTCTGGGGGATGCGGCGACGCTTCTGCCAGCGCCGCTGGGCATACAGCGCCACGGTGAACACCAGCAGCAGCAGCAGCAACGCAATGAGGCCACCCTAGAGCAAGATGGGAGAACAGGTAATGAACCACTGTTGTTTGCAGTAGAGTGTCAGAGGGGATTTTCCTGTCCACTACACTCAGCCCAAATCCCAGTTTGCTGGTAGAGTCTCAGAAACCACCAGCCATGGCTTTGAAACTAGAGAGACACAGTTTCCAAACCTGGTTTGCCTTTTGGGTTTTTTAAACCAATAAACTGTGACCTTGGGCAGAGTGTTTGACTTTTCTGAGCTTTGTTTTTCATGAGCATAAAGGATGAGTAAGAATCTCTGCTCCCCCTCCTTCACAAGATTGCCAGGAGGACCAATCCAGATACCAACATTTGGGAAGAGCCTCCCACCAGCTGAACTACTCCAGCACAGTTGCTCATGCTTCCATAGCCTTGCTTCCTCATCTCTAGAATGAGTTCATGTTCTCTTTGCAAGGCTCTCAGCTCACTAACGCTGAAATTTGGGATGGGGCATAGGTAGGTAAAATAGATAAGAGGTAAGCAGGCATGCAGGTGTGACTGATAGTGCTGGAGAAGAGGCCAAGGCTCTGTCTTGACTCCAACAGTGATCTACTTCGGGTTACCTGGAAAGGTTTCTCTGAATGTCAGAACTTAAAAACAAATATGCAAATCAAACAAAGTTATAAGTATGTATATTTATGTGTATGTGTGTGTATTACCTATCAAATACAGTGAGTCCCCTAGATACAAAATTTCAGATTGTGAACTTTCAAAGATGCAAATGTGTATTCACACGTCCAGTAAGGTAAGTTAGTTCACATCGTCATGTATGTGCACCTTCTATAAATGGTTGTGCTTTTGTGTACTTTACTGTGCAGTACTGCATAGAGTACGGTAGCATACTATGTTTATTTCAAGCCCAGGATGTCCAGAAACAAATATAAAAGCAACTGATTGTTTTAATTGAATACCTGAGCTAGCTTTGTTGAATTTATGAACAAATTGGACTTATGAATATTGTCTTGAAACAGAACTCATTCATATATAGGGGACTTACTGTATGTGTAAAATGTGTGTGTGTGTGTGTGTGTGTACAGTTTATCACATCGGGAGCCCAAGAAAAACAGATCTTCTTTCCTCAACAGAACATATGAGCATGTTTGCTCTGTGCCTAGAAATCATGTGTGGCATGGTATCATTTATCTTTTTTTTTCTGGATCAGAAATAAGAAAGGAAGGAGATAGGAAGGGAGTGCAGATGAGTGAAGAGGAGAGAGAGAACAGAAAAGGAGGGTAATGAGAGAAAAGGACTAGGAGAAACACTAGCCCTTGATAAATGTAATGGCAGACCCTCTTTTATCACTTTTATTTAATGCTATTTTGGTAATCTTCGAGACAAGATTATGTGATAGCAATTATAATTCCTGCTCTATAAATGAAGAAAGAGTGGTTTAGAGAGGTTAGGTAACTTGTTTGCAGTCACACAGCCAGGTTTTAATCCCTGGTCTAACTGGGTTCAAAAGGCCAGGAAGTGGTGGCACTGCAACTGGGCTCCAACTCTCCATTGCATAGTCATTGGTTATTAGACAGCAGTTCCCACCAAGCAAAGAGAGAAAAAGAGAACAGGAGGAAAGACAGAAAGGGCACAGGAAGAGAGTGCGATCCTGAGAAGCAAAAAAGAAAGCACTATTTTCAAATCCAGGCTTCAGTAGCACATCTGGAGGATGCCTCTTCAGAGAAACTTTTCATTCTGGTCCATTGATGCCCTTGGGGGAATCTCCTTGTCTGACTCAGTCCTTTACCTTCTCATCTGTGTTTCTCATCCTGTGAGGCTCAGGATTTGTCTGGTTCCAGAGCCCTTCATTCCTCACCACCCGCCAGCCCTCTCAAATTATGGTTGTTGGACCCCACAAGGGTCCTCACTGACCTCATAGGCTAAAAGGCTTGTAGAGAGGACTTAGTATAGTGTAGTGTGGGCCACAGGGTAACTGTGCACGGATTATTAGCTATTGTTACTGTCAACAGCATTCAGCAAATATACATTTAATGCTGAAGGAATAAATAAAGGAATGAATAAATGACTTGACTCAAATTTCTCATCTGCAAAACTTGCCTTGGGTCCCCAAGCCCTTCTCAATCTGAACAAAATATTTGATATAGGCTCTTTCATTTGTCTTTATACCTATCCTTGTCCTATGTCAAATTAGAAACCAGCCGGGCTCGGTGGCTCAGCCTGTAATCCCGCACTTTGGGAGGTTGAGCTGAGTGGATTGCCTGAGCCCGCGGGTTCGAGACCCGCCTGGGCAACTTGGCAAGACCTCATCTCTACAATAAATCAAAAATTAGCTGGGCGTGGTAGTGCATGCCTGTAGTTCTAGCTACTTGGAAGACTGAGGCGGAAGGATCATTGGAGCCCAGCAGGTCGAGGCTGCGGTAGACGGGAGTGGCCACTGCACTCTAGCCTGGGCGACAGAATGAGACTCTAATTCAAAAAAAAAAAAAAAATAGAAACCAAGGCCCAGAGACAAGTCATTTACCCAAGGAGGCGGAGCTAACATTCAAACTATTTCTGAAAGCATGATATTAAAACTGTGCTTTGGGTGAAGAAGGGACAGGAACAGCAAAAGTCTAATGAGCTCAGCCTCACTTTTGCCTTATCAAATTACCTATGTTATTTCAGGTGCAGATTTGCCCAAATAGGAAACTTCTAGAAGGAGGTGGCAGGCCCTGAACATGAGGGTCCCTTTACCTTATTAACCTCCTGATTCTTGAGTCCCTGGCCTCCTTGTTTGATATGAACTCAGGCCACTGGCCCTGGTACTCCCATTGGGGCACAGCTTCCTTTTCCTCACTCCCCACCTGCCCTGAACTCAGCTCCAACTGAGTTGCCGACCACATGGCTCCTGTTACAGATGGACATTTTATTATAATAATTCAGCTAAAGCAGAATTCCAGTAGCTAGGGCTGATCGTGCAATTGACTATGGAAACAGAACTCCCCAGGCTGGGCTTGTAGAGGCTCAAAGGACCTCATTCAAGACACAGTAACAGCTTGGGTGATGTTACAAGTCTGACCATCCCTACCTTTTGGACCCTGAAAAAGTAGTGAAATACGTGGAATTGGAGATATTCTTAGAAGAGGCAGGAAAAAGGTCTGAATTCAATTTTACTCATAGTGTGACCTTGGGCTATCAACTATGACCCCTCAGTTTATTCAACTGTAAATTGTATTTGGCTAATACTTGTAATACTATATCACACAGTTAGAAACAATAAAGATTGGGGTTCAGAAACACTTGGTTGAAATCTCATGCTGCCACATATAAGCTGAGTGGTCTTGCACAAAGGACATAATTTCTCTGAATAACAATTTTATCATCTATAAATCTAGATCCAAGACTTCCTGGTAGAGGGAGGTGAGATGTGCACTAATGGGTGTGGAATACTTCACTCAGTGCCTAACACACGGTAAACCCGTGTTGCAGGAAATTTCTCATTCATGGTATCCATAGGGTTATTGTGCAAATCGAATTTGGAAACAGCTGTACTATCTCTTACAAACTGGAGAGTGTAGTGCACAGGCAAAGAAGCTCAAGAGAACCATTTGGCCGCCTCTGACCTAGTGGGACACTCCACCCAAAGAAAGCAGATGAGTGACTCAGAATCAAGGTGAAATTGTAGGCTGCACCCACCCACATTGGTCTAGGATGCTGCACTGGCTCACAGTTTGACTCTTGCTCTTGTATTTCAGCCTCCCACACCAGGGGCAAGCAAGCAGAAAAGCAGGAGCAATCAATCAGCGGCTATGCAGGGCCAGGGCATCTAGCCTCTACAAGGAGTGAACACAGGCCCAGGCAGTGGAAAAATGCTGCAGGGCAAGAAGGGAGCTGGAGAGGGAGGAAAAGACATAGGAAACAAGCTGCGAATTTTTAGAAATCAAGTTAGGAAGAGGCCAAGGCTCAAGGGGTGGCAAACTGAACCCCGGCTGGCCTCAGGGACAACCTGACTCCAAATACGATTTGAGCTGTGCTCACTCTAGGGTGGTCCCAGACAAGCAAGGTTGAAATGGCTGTGAGTTCCAGAGATAACAATGCCAGTCTATTAGTTAGGGGTTTGTTTCAGTCGGGATATAAGTTGGACAGATCTGGGGGAGATCAGTTTGACCTTCTCCTTAGGGGTCTGAGAATTTCCCAAAACTGTCAGGCAGGAAGTAGGGAAGAGATGAGAAAGGGGAAGTATGTCCCTATGTTTTCTGGAAGCTTCCTTACAAATTTCTCTAGGCAGGATCAGCCTGCTCCTCTTGTTTGACTACTGACAGTGAGTCTCAGATTCCCCAGCAAAGCCAGACAAGGATGAGGGTGGGAGATGCCAAGGGCAGAGTGCTGTGATGGGAGCACAGGGTGTCCGGGGACACAGGGGTCAGAGTGTGAATCCTTGCTTCCCTGCTTACTGTTGGCTGTGATAAGCTGGTTACAATATTTTACTTCCTTGGGCAATAGGCTCCCTTTAAAATGAAACTGGCTGTTCACAAGGTGAAGAATTATTCTAAGGATTAAAGAAAAAAATAAAAGATCTGATAAAGAATCTGGCCCCACAAAAGTCGACAAATACCAGCCTCATTCCTTCATCTTCTGTATTTCTCTAACTCAGTCTAAATCCTTTCACCACACCCATTTGCTTAACATTTTGGGGGGGCTCCCCCAAGCCCTTAGAATAATATCTATATTTCCTAGCCTGGCACCCAAAGCCCTGCATGACTGGGTCCCTGCCTCTGACTTATTTCTTTTTTTTTTTTTTTTTTTGAGTTGGAGTCTCACTCTGTCGCCCAGACTGGAGTGCAGTGGCCGCTCCCGGCCACCGCAGCCTCGGCCTGCTGGGCTCCGGCGATCCTTCCACCTCAGCCTTCCGAGTAGCCGGAATTACAGGCATGCACCACCACGCCCGGCTGATTTTTTGATTTATTGTAGAGATGAGGTCTCACTGCCCAGGTGGGTCTCGAACCCGCGGGCTCAGGCAATTCACTCACCTCAGCCTCCCAAAGGCGTGGGATT